ATATATCAGACATATTCGATATATCTGACATACCTGACATTTCTGACATTCGGGATCTTCGTCACGTGCACCGGTCATGTTTTCGGGTCTCACACTAACCACCAAATATAGCAGTCATGGGGCCTATTGTCATGCTCAGAAAACTCAGACTTGGTCAAATTCTCGTGTAACCAATAATAAGTAACATTTATGAAAGAAGGTGTTAGATTTGGCTGGTGAGTATTAAGGCTTTCGGTTACTTGGGCTTAACAAAGGTCAATATGGCAAGTCACGTGATCAAGAAATTGAACGATCAAAAGTTATGATCAAAAACGTAAAACTTTTAATGTCAACAGTACCTCATTTGGATAATAATTTTTCAGAGCATTCATGGTGACATATAATTTCATCAAAGAGGAAATCAGTGATGGTTTTTGTATCAGCTGTTTCAATAGCCTTTGTTTCTGACCACTTCATCATGTTATTAGTGGTCACAATGATATATCTTTTTGATCGAGATGTAATAGATAAGGGTTCTACTATATCAATACTGACTTGATAAAATAGAGCAGCAACAGTGATTAGATGCAATGGGTCACTAAACTTGTTCCTCTCTTATTTTTGGCATTGTTCACATAATTTCATGTATCGATATATGTGTTCAAATGCTTAAAGCCAGTAATAAGACCTGTGGATTTTTTTGAAAATAGTGTTAGTTTCAAGATGTTTTTTTAATGGGTAATCATGCATTAGCAATAGAATCAGATTGATTTTGTGTTATTATACTACCCTTAATGGTCAGTCAGATTGATATTTATTATTTTTATAAACTAAACTGTCTTTTAGATAAATGATTTACTATAATTAATTAATTGTATTTTTTATTTTTTATCTAGATCTAGTAGTATGAAATCATCTTGAAGGTACTATTTAAGTTGATCATATCTAGTGGGTTTCATTTTGTTTTTTCATATCAGAATACCAACTACTTGGACTGGATTTCTTCTAACATTAGATTTGTGATAATCTTCATAGTCATGTTTCTTTATATTTTTTGTTATACTAATTTGATATTAGTTTAATTAAAGTCTCACAATCTGCTCCAATACATCCTAATCTTCCTTAAATTCATTAGGTCTGCAATGCATAAGCTATAAATTCTATTTACAAGGTAATATCATCTTTTTTTTTGGTCTCAAGATTTTTATTCTATAAAAATTTGTTATATTGTTTTTTTCAATTTTCAATGATCTGTATTGTTAATTTATAACAGTTTTTCAAAGAATTGTGATATCATTTTTTTATTTGATCATATTTTGCTAAGAATATCCTGCAAATTCAACATGCTATCTTGCAAACATAATTCTATATTATATGATTTTAACTTATTTGTGTCTTATATTTATATCTATTCTTAATTAATAAATATTTTTTTTGATTAGAGATCTATTTATATTGTTCTTTCATTATATACTTCTTGATTTCTCAAGTAATTTCATTTTTATTTATTGAGCATAATCAATGGTTTATTTTCATCAACATTATGTCATGACTACAGATGTCTTCAAGATGGCTGTGGCATGGACCTTCTTTATGTGCTTGATCAAATATTATTTGCATTTATCTTCTAATGTTATTTTGTCTTCAGTCATAGAAAAGAGGCCTCATTTTTCTTATTCTCTGTAGAAGCTCTATTTATATTGCAGGTTTCTAAAATGATCAATTCAAGAACTATCATGTATCTTATTTCTTTTTTGTAAAGTTTAACAGTATATTTTTTATCATTATATGGGTCAAGTTAATCATCATCCAGAATGACATTTGTAGTTGGTTCCTCTTTGTTCAATTCATAGTTGATCTCCAGTTTATTGTTGATTTCTAATTTATAATTAATTTCTAATTCATTTCAGGTAGTGGTTAAAAATGACTCAATTTCTTTCTTTTTGTATTATCAATTCTTTATTATATTTTCATCTATAGTGGCAGTTAAGAATTATTCTTCTATCTTAATTTTGAAATAGTCATCTATCATATATGCTTCTTCTTTAACTTATCAGTCCTGGTCTTTATCTCTTAAGACAATTATAATCTTTCATTAGGATAATAATAGGGACCTTTCCTCTCTTCTAAGTTAGCAAATATATTTTCAAGTATTTGCATTCTCTCTCCTTTATCCTATATTCTTCTTCTTTAGTTAGGTCTTACTGAGCTTCTTCAGCTCCATTATAGTAATTATAATCATATTTCAACTTATAGATCTTATTTTTGGATTTTTTATCATAATCATTCCAGTCTTTACTAACTTGTTCTTGTATTAATGCTATATATATTTTTTCTTTCTGTTCGAGTTCTTCTCTCTATTCATATAGTAGACATGTTGTATTAAGTATTTTACTGTTTTTTAATGATTTTACCTTTATGCTAACTTTCTTTCACTCTACTTATATTTCTTTACCTCAAGCATAGTTCTTATGATTTTTTGAATTAAGATCCCTGCTTCTAAATGGGTCTTCTTGTTAGGCTCAATTCTCTTCAATAGTGTGTCAGCATTCAAGTGAACTCAGTCAGCTCTATGCTCAATTGTATAATTATACAGTTGTAGATGAAGCATTTACTGAACTCTTCTACCTTTTAATTTTGAAATCTGTAATCATTTTAAGGCCAAATGGTCTGTCACTACTATGAATAATCTAAATCTAAAATAGTAGTAGTAAAACTTATAATCCAGAATACTGCAAGATATTCTAATTCAGTTGTTAAATAGTTTCATTCAGTTTTGAAAAGACTTCAGCTCATGTATATATAACATGTTCCTTATTTTCTTTATCTTTTTGTGCTAAAACTGTACCAAATCCTATTTCAGAGATGTTGGTATGTAAATAAAACATCTTATTGAAATCAGAGTATTTGAGTATAGGTGCCAAAGTTAAGTAGGTCTTCAATTAGTTGAATACTCTTTGTTGTTTTTGTTTTCATTCATAGCTAACATCTTTTTGCAACAAATGGTATAATAGTTTTATGATTGTAACAAACCTTTAAATGAATTATCAATAATATAAGACTAAGCTAATAAAGCCTCTTAATTGTTAAAGGGTTCAGATACAGAGAAGTGTTTAATCTTTTCTACTTTTGTTTGTTAGGCTTAATTTTGTCATGGCCAATCATGTGTCTAAGAAAGTAGTTATCCAGTTTGAAGAAATCATATTTTTCAATATTTATCTTTAATCTGTCTTTATTCAGTTTTTTAAACACCTCTTGTAAATATATCAAATGCTTGTCAAACATTTTTGAGTGTATATTAATGTTGTCAAGATAAATGACAATAAATTTTTTTATACATTCTTTTAATACTTTGTTTATATAATGCTAAAAGGTTGTCAGAGCATTATATAAACTGAACAACATTACATTAAATTTGAATAGACTGCTTTAGGTAATGAATTCTGTTTTTTTTTAATTTTTTTTGTTTATTTTAACCTGTCATTATTTGCTTTTTAGTTTCAGGCTTGAAAACTGATTAGTGGTTCTAAAGGTTTTTAGTAGATCATTAATTTAAGACAATGGATAAGCACCTTTCTTTATTACAGTATTTAATTTATAGTAGTCAATGCATAGTTGTAATTTGCTATCCTTCTTTGGTACTACCACTACTGATAATGCCTAGAGGCTACTGAACTTTTTAATTAACTTTTGTTTTTTTATCTTCCTTAGTTCTTTTTCTACAAACTCCTGTTTATCTAGTATGATTCTGTAAGCTTATTGTTTAATCAGTTTAGTGTCAGAGTATTGATTCTGTAAGTAATAATATTTGTTATGCTTAGTTCCTGTATCTCTTTTGCTAATAGTGATTCTTCTTGTTTAAAGAATTCTTGTACTTTTGTTCTTTCTTCTTCATTGAGAGTCTTGACTTGTATGAATTTCTCTAACTAAACATTAATAGCAAGCTTACTTTCATTTTCTTTAGTAGGTAGTTTGTTCATGTTAGTCAAGTAAATAGCAGAGCTGATTTCATTCTTCTACAGGTTATAATAAAGCTTATTTTTATCTTCTGACATTTCTTCACTATAGCCTTGTTTAGTTCTTCTTTGTTATAGATAAGTTCATCAAAGGTATCTCTACTGTTACTATTTTAGAGATTCTTTTCTTTCAGTTCATTTAATCTTTTCTTTCTATTATTTGATATTAGTATTTCAATGATTCTTTTCTTGTAATTATGAGTAATCATTGTTTATCAAAATGAAGTCTTACTTAAACTTTTAAAAACCAATCAGTTCTTAACAGTAATATTTTATTAATGGATTTTATTACTTGAAATATACTAGATAGGACAGCATCCTGTAATGCAATGCTAAGGTCATCTATCTGTCCTAATGCCCTAGTTCAGGTTCCAGTTGCAGTAACTGCTATTATTATTAAAAGTTAGTTAATCTTGATTTATAGTTTATCTATAAGCCTTTTGGTCATTATATTTATAGCTGCTTTGGAGTCTAGCATAGCTTTTATTGAGTTTTCTTTTATTCTTTTGTAACAATATATTGTAGTCATTAGCTGGGTTCCTTCAAAGTTTACCAATCAAGCTTTCTAAGAGACAAGAGACCTTCAAAGAGCTTGCATCAATATCTGTTATTGATTAGAATATTGAAGCAACTGTTTATAGGTAATATGGTCAAGTAAGTTCAACAGGTCATGGACAATATTATAAGGATCCAACTTATCAACTATGGAAGGTTCACATTTTCTTTGAGGCTTTAGAATTGATCTAACTATGTCTTCCTCTATCAGGTTCAAGGTGTTATCCAAGTTTACTAGAGACACTTTGTCTACTTCTTAGCATTGTCTTAGTCAATTGTCCTATCATAAATCTGCCTGTAACCTTAGTCATTTTTTAGGATATTTGTCCAATTGGGCCTGTTGCCTTTGTTTTTCAAGATTATACAGTATATTTTCTTCTTCTCAAATCACACAATTTATCCTTCAGACTTGCTGCAGCCTTTTCATTTTTCACTTGAATATTGTGATCTTTTTGTTCCTTTATTTGTGCATTTTGGTTGTCCTTTAGCTAAACAATATTATGCAATATGTCCAATTTTTCTACATTTATATTACACAATATTTCTTCTCAGTCCATGGTAGCTTTTGCAATGTCTTTTAGGTTCAGAGGTTTTTTTTCCTTTCTTATCATTTAATACTATATAGTTTACTAAAAATTGTTGAACTTGTTTAACTAAGACTTTAATTAATTTGTTTTTTTTATCAGTCAATTTTGCAGTTTCAGATATATAAATGCCATAATAATCTTTAGCTTCTTTTTTAATAACTACAATGACCTCATTTAGATCTCATGATGATGTTATATTATGAATATAACAGGTTTTCCTTTTAGCTCTTTAAGGAACATTCACATAGTGTATGATTTGGGTAAGGGTTTTATCTTACTCAACAACTTCTTGAATTTAGTTGCACAAATGTCAACTTTTACATTTTTACCTTGGGCTAAGATATTAAGTTCTAATTGCTATTTGTGCTACTTTTTCAGCATGGTAAAGAATGTTACTAATAGGAAGTGAAAGTTGTTTTATGCTGTCCTGTCTTTTTTCTAGTAGGCTATCTTGTTCCTGTTGTTTTTGTAACATTTGGCAGCCATTCCTTGCAGGTGATCAAAGGTGATTTGCATCTTTCTTTGACTGTTTCAATTATTAACTTCTGTGGCTAATTTAAAGTCTTCAAGCTATTCAATTGGATTATCATTATTGTTACTGCTGAAAGTTCTTACTTTTATAAGATTGGTTTTCTTGGAATTTAGTCTATTTCTATCAGTAATACTTCTAGCAACATTTTTGAATGATCACAACATAATGTCTATTAGTTCTTTAAGATGGGTATTATTCATAGCTTTTATCTTGTCTTTTCTAAAAATTAATTTCAGTTTTATCTTATTTTATAAATTTAGCCTATCTTATTATAATTTTTAAAAGAGTTTAATAAGTCTTCTGCTTTTTTATTAACCTTAAATTGATTTTTTTAAAAATTTTAAATTGGAAAGAAGATGGGTAACAAGATTTTACTAATTTCATAATCTCACAGTCACCACCAAATATGATTTTTAAATTTGTGAATCTGTTAATAAATTAATTTAACTCTTGTATAACCTATGCTAGTTAAGTTGAAATAGGCATGTTAGATTTGACTAGGTGGTTGATCTGTAGGTAAGTTCTAATTTTCTTTCTAGAACTTTCTTTTAACCTAGTCTACTAACTATTTGTTTTCTCTTTATCTTCTTTTTATTTTCTCTTTATCTTCTCTTTATCTTCTTTTTATCTTCTTTTTATTTTCTCTTTATCTTCTCTTTATCTTCTCTTTATCTTATTTTATCTTCTTTTTATCTTCTCTTTATCTTCTCTTTATCTTCTCTTTATCTTCTCTTTATCTTCTCTTTATCTTCTCTTTATCTTCTC